GCATATTCCCTAATTTGGATGATCTACTATCTGAGAATATATACTTAAAAAACAACAAAGAGGAGGAGGGGGAGAGGAAGGGGGAGGAGGAGATGAAGAACAAGAAGGAGAAGAAGAAACCGCCAGAAAGCTTTGAGTGAGCTGACAAATTATATCACAGAATTATTGAGAATAAATAAATCAATTTGAATTAAATTATTGCTGAGTTTGCAAAATCATATGCAATTAAGTGGTGCAATTTACTTGAAGCAAGATATGCATTTTTCCATACGATAAATATTTGAAGGGCATACCTCATTATCTGTGATAGTGTACACATGATATAATTTTGGAGGACCACATCAAATTTGAGAAAATCTCTTACTTAGTAATAAGCACATGGAGGGAAGGCCAGGAGAAGCTTAACTATCTTATAATGATCAATGCTCTCAATATTAGCTGATTATTTTTTATCTTCTACCTAAGGCTGACTTTAGGTAAAACTGTATGCTTCTTGAAGACCACAGTTGTTCATTTTTGACTCCTTAGAGGCTAAAAAAATTGCCTGACATATATTGGTGTTTTTTTGAGTCAACATAAAATAGGTTAAAATTTGTCTTGCAGGCTACCCACTCACAGAAGTTGACACACCTCTGCTTTTACTAGGCATTTCTTGATGCTCAAACATCAAGCCAGTCCCCTTTTTTAGATATCCAAAATGAATTTCTCTCTTCTAAAGCAAAACTCCTCCAAGAGAACATTCTACTATCTTACACTATTCACTTAATTTCTGTATTCTGCTTTCCATCACTTCTTGATCAAAATGGCATTCTCAAAGTTCACTAATGTCCTGCTAATCACTATTTCGAAATGCATTTCCCATGTTTTTCGTTTTCTTGAACCTTTGTTTGTGGTCTCAACCCTCTTCCTAATGTAACCTGATAGTATACTACTTTTGATTCTGCATCATTTCTCCTTTAACTGGTCTCCTAGCTAGAACACAGGCATGCTTTAATTCTCTCCCCAGGCTCCTCCCAGCCCTTCCAATGAGCCTTCCCAAGAATCAGTCTTTCTTCTGTTTTTCCCTTATAATTATCTGCTTCTACAATCTATCTCCTGATGTAGTTCAATTATCATATGTATGATTAGCATTCCCAACTGACTACAGAACTCTAATCTGGCACTAATCTGGCTACAGAGCACCAAAATGGTACCTCAAGTACCTGTCTCAAATTTCCTTTGAGAATTGTCATTGTCACTTCTCATTTAACACTGCTAACACTGAATTCATTGTCTTCTCTATAAACTAGTGTGAAGAGCACTAATTCCTCAACTACTAGATTTCAAAATCTTTACCCTCCTTACTTCTTCCTCATGTCTAATCAATAATATATGACATTCTCTGAATCATTCCTTCACAGTAGTTCCTGCAACAATCCTTAGCCAATATGTGTTGACCAAACAGTTTTAAAGAAAATTCACATATATCCAGACATATCCTACACTCTGCCAGTGTAGACTCTTACTCAAGCTTTTGCCTTTTCCTCCCATTGTACTTCTAAAACCTTACCCAGAGCACCTGGGTGGCTCAGTCCGTTAAGCGTCTGCCTTCAGCTCAGGTCCTGATCCCAGAGTCCTGGGATGGAGCCCTGCATCTGGAGTCCTGCTCAGCGGGGAGTCTGCTTTACCCTCTGCCCCTCCCCGTGCTCATGCTCTCTCTCTCTCAAATAAATAGATAAAATCTTTTAAAAAATTTTAAAAATAATAAAAAAAATAAAACCTTACCCAATGTTGAAGGTTCACTTCAGATAGCAACTCCAAGAAGTAGTTTTACTAAGGATACTCTATCCCACCTAAACTCCTATCACATTTTGCTTATATAACTAATTTTACACTTACTAGACTACCTTATATAGCAGATTATATATTCAAGTATTGACCTATCCAAACATAACTTGTGAGCTCTTGGAACGCAGTAACCTTGTCAACTCAGTTTCTCCTCAGACTTAGACCTACTACAATGCTGTACATATAGTAAGTGCTTAAAAACTTACTGTCTTCAATTAAACTAAACTGAGGTGGGGTTTGAGTATGCCTAAATTATTAAGAAATCTGTATTCAGATGCAGTCTGTCTGAAATTCCTTTCAAATAGCTAAAAGGCTTTAGACATATTATCAAGGAAATAACAGCAAGATAAGGGATCAATGATCTAAAACATAAATACAGTGTCTTTTTACCCCCACTGGGCAATTAAAATTAGATAAGAAATTATTACCTAATACTTAATTTATCTGAAATTTCAATGGTTTTTGTTACAGTTACTGTTTTTAGTTTTTGGTGTATGTTTTTGCTTTTTACCTTGACAATTTTTATGAGTGAGGAATCAAAGTGAGACAAAGGTATGATCATTGCAAATACTTTAGCTAGTTGAAAGGTCTCAGACAGACCTTGATGTTGATAATGGTAGTTCAGGCAAGAAGGTTCTAATGCATTTGCCTTTCAGAACCATCTCAGGCTTTCAAATGTGATCAAACTTTATTTATGAATATATTTTGTGCGTGTGGAATTTTGAAATTTTCTAGCTATGTGCAATATCTGGAATTTAAAATTTTTCACTCTGGGTTTTTATGTTTAAATTTAACAACTATTAATATTGTGCTTATTGTGCTTTTATGACATTTTTCTTCTAATTTATAATGACAGAGTAACCAATCCAAACCCAAAAATACATATATTCAAGTAGGTCATATGTCAGGTTACAAATGGCAAGATTTCATTCTTTTTTTATGGCTGAGTAATATTCCATTGTGTGACTGTATTTGTTTATGTATGTA